TTTTATTTCCGTCCCTGCTGTGGTATTCTTGGCTTTCAAATCAGCAATAACTTCTCCATTTCCATTCCGCCAGGTATACCCCAAATCCTCACTATAAGCATAGCACAGGTCATGGTTGTTCTCTGCGCCATTTGGACCAGCTTGTTGTTTATGTTTCGTGTCGAGAGGTTCGTCCCATCCGGCGTAATGCACAAAACCCCTGTAAACCCAGGTTATGTGAAGTCGATTGTCTCGCTGGGTGTAGGTGATTCCGTTGACGTAGGGGTTGCTTTGGATTCCGGTCAGATGTTGGCCCATGTAGGCGTATCGTCCGGCTTCGCCGTCGGCGGCTTGGTACATGTAGAGATGGTCGTTCCCAAGGCCTGCTTTGCCATCCCGAAAGGAGAGAAACATGTTGCTGCTGCCAAGAAACCCAAATCGGGGGTAGGTGACGTCTTTGAAAGGGGCGTGCGTTGTCGGGAGCCCTGGCAGGTGGGAGAGTGCTGGGCTAAAGAGCGAGGGCCTCCATTGAAAGTCGTCTGGAGTCAGAGCTAGGTTTGGTACCGACTGTCGGTATCGTAGGCTGTCGATGTTGGTCATTGACTTGCAGTCCAGAGGGAAGGATTAAATTGAAACTTACACATCACAGTGGTGGTCATATGCGAGGTGAATCGTCCCATCACCCGGACATATTCCTATCTGGACGGTATTGTGTCCGTCATCAGTAGTCTGTGGGTAGTCATCAAACACGACAACTTCCCAGGCGCTCGCTTGACTCTCCTTCTCCATCTCAGTACCTGGCCGTCCCAGCCCTGCTACCGAGGCATGGGGCAGTTTCCTCCTTGCAAGATGGATGTAGAGGGGCTCATCGTCTATTCCATCCTCTGGCCCTGGGATACGGTGGTCCTTGCACATATAGCTGTAGAAAACGGCATACTGCCAGCCTTGGAAAGTCACCACGGCGTCTTGTTGAAAGGCATTGGCATTGATATTACACCGTCTCCGGTGGCCGGGATCTTGGCCCAGGATGGAGATGGTTGGGTTGACTAACGCCATCTGACTATCGTTTCTACTAGAATTGAAGTATGCCGACTTTGATGGAGTATCCAAGATGATGACGCCCCAGTAGCTTCCCGTTTGAGAGACATTTATCTGCATGTGTACATTGTTACAGCACTGGCATCTTGATATTCACACCTGGTCTGTCTGTTTCCCCGGTGTGGCATTATGGCATACAAGAACATGACTTGTGATGGTGCTTCTGATTGGTGGAAAAATGTTCTTTGGCTATTTGCTCCCTGCCGTCCTCTACCATGAGGGTAAATACCACCAATGTACAATCATATCGAACCGACACCGATCACTCAAAGTTCCAAGGGCTTGGAACCAGAAGATCTTGATGTAGCTTGATATCCCGCTTGTTCAGTCTTGTTGTCTTTGCGCAGCAAAACTCGTCGAAACTTAAAGCTTCCAGTTATCACTTTTGAAGTTGGGATAATATAGTACTAAATTATGTCGAGAAGACGGGAAGGTGATAAGCGAGTTACCTATCGTTCCATGGGAGTACAAAGTTTGGAGTCTATGATAACAACAACATCAGAGAAACTGACCCCAACGATTGCTAGATAACCAGATAATCCAACAATGAATCTATAAAGTCAACACTGTATTTCGAAAAACTCAACATCAAGATCTCCGTACTTGTATCTGATGCCACAGAGACACTCCATCACATTGAACGAACTATCCAATCACATTCCTCTTCTCAGCCCAGAAGCTAACCCCTCACACTGCAACGCCGTTGATCTCTTCTCACGACCCGGACCCCTGTCACACTCTCCGCAATGGTACATCCAGATGGCCGAACCAAACATCGGGACAAACAAATAGGCTAATATTACGCTGCGGTACATAGCCCGAACGACCCTTGGCAGGCGGAACGACAACCGAAGAGGGAATTGGACTTGGCGCTGCGAGCCAGAAAGTGCATGCGGCGAGTTGAAGCATCATCTCAGAAGAAGGTCCGATGAACGCCACATTTCCCTTCTTTGCCCTCGGAAAAGGTCACGTGTGGTATGGATGGTAAGATTAGACTTGATGACCTAATCACGTATGCTGAGGCACCACGTATGCAGTGAGAAGTACTCATACTCGCTGTTCCAGCAATTCCAGGCACTTAATAAGTACGACCCCCGCTCAACCTCGATTACTCATGGTAGCACCAGTTGCTCTGTAAGAGAGGCTCGGAGGCTCTCCTTGGTGGAAAATACCCTTGCCCCACAACATACAGTGACATTGACCTTGGAGATGCCGTTGGGGTAAGCTCTCAAGGTAAACCTGCCGATCGCCTCCAAGTTGGAGACAACGTGGCGGTGATGGTGGTGAGAATCCAACCACCTGCACCACGCGGAAACAAGCCAGGCATCTGGATCAAGCAAACTGCACACCAAGATATGAGAAACGGCCCGGATTCTCGCTCGACCCGTTCAATGTAGACAATGGAGCAGCAGTTCATGGTCGAGATCCCCAATCAGATCCCCCCGCAGAGCTTTCAACATGCTCCTCGATATCACCCGTCCACCCGGGGAGCTAGGATGCCATACCACCATGTTATATTGCTCTTGCATGCCCGGGTGCAACTATAAATGATAGCACAGATCCATGTAGGCTAACCCTACTTCTAGAAGCCCCTGCTTTTTCTCTGCGCTGTACATCTGCGCACGAGTGGCTGCCAAATATAATCGAGAGGCTCCCCATCTCGACTATTCCCTTGTGTCACGTATCCCCTCACTTGACTTGGGACTCAACCCTTCCAACTTCATCTGTCTGGTAGACAAGGACAACCGCCAAAATGTCTCTATCGGTGCGGATTCTCAAAAAGATCGTGAAGAACGAGGCCATGGCCTCGGATCCTCCCGAGATCTACGGCTGGCGCGTCTATCTTCTCGCCTGCTCGGCCTGTTTCGGTGCCATGTCGTTTGGCTGGGACTCGTCAGTCATCGGCGGCGTCATCGAACTCCCTCCCTTCAAAACCGACTATGGCCTCACCGGCAATCCCAAAGCCTCTGCCAGTCTGGCAGGCAACATCGTGTCGACCCTCCAAGCAGGTTGTTTCCTCGGCGCTCTCCTGGCTTCCCCTCTCACCGACCGCTATGGCCGCAAGTGGTGTCTGATTGGAATCTCTGCCGTAATCACCGTCGGCGTCATCATGCAAGCTGTGTCCTCGGGTAATCTGGGTCCCCTCTACGCAGGCCGGTTCGTCGCCGGTGTGGGAGTCGGCGCAGCCAGCACCATCAACCCCATCTACGTCTCCGAGAACGCTCCCCGCGCCATCCGCGGTCTCTTGACTGGCCTCTACCAGCTCTTCATCGTCACAGGCGGCATGATTGCCTTCTGGATCAACTACGCCGTCAGTCTCCACTTCCATGGGAAATCAATGTACATCTTCCCGCTCGCCATCCAGGCCCTCCCTGCCGTCTTGCTCTGCCTGTGCATGCTCCTCTGCCATGAATCGCCCCGCTGGCTAGCCCGCGCAGACAGATGGGAGGATACCAAGCGCATTCTTGCCCAAATCCGCAATCTGCCCCCTGACCATCCCTACATCGAAGACGAGTTCCAAGAAATCGTCGACCAGCTCGAAAACGAGAGACGACTCGTTGGGGATGCTACCTTCTGGAACCTCCAAAAGGAGATGTGGACCGTCCCTGGCAATCGGAAACGTGCCCTGATCAGCATCACTCTCATGGTGTGCCAACAAATGACGGGCACCAACGCCATCAATACCTATGCGCCGACTATCTTCAAGAATCTCGGTCTGACGGGCACAAGCACGCCGTTGTTCAGCACAGGCATCTACGGCATCGTCAAGGTGCTCAGCTGTATCTGCTTCTTGCTGTTCATGGCAGATTCGCTCGGCAGAAGGAGGAGTCTGTTGTGGACCTCGATTGCCCAGGGGCTGGTCATGTTTTACATTGGCCTGTACGTGCGAATCGCACCGCCTATTGAGGGCCAATCGGTGCCTCCCGCGGGATACTTTGCCCTGGTGTGCATCTTTTTGTTTGCTGCGTAAGTTCCTTTCTCATCCTCTCCCTTTGCCTTGCGCAAACTTATCTTGACTCTTGCGCTGACTCTGATTATTCGAACAGGTTCTTCCAATTCGGATGGGGTCCCGCTTGCTGGATTCTGGCCAGTGAAATCCCAACTGCTCGACTTCGCTCGCTCAACGTTGCCCTCGCCGCCGCCACCCAATGGCTCTTCAACTTTGTCGTCGCGAGATCCGTTCCCGAGATGTTGGTGACTGTCGGAGCACACGGTTATGGGTAAGACGCAACGACTTTATTCTTGTAATAGTTGTTCCATGTGCACAAAACTGACAATAACCCCTTTTCCAGCACGTACCTCATCTTTGGATCCTTCTGCTTCTCCATGTTCTTCTTTGTCTGGTTCTTCATCCCCGAGACCAAGGGCATCTCGCTCGAGGCCATGGATCGGCTGTTTGGCGTCACCGATGGGCCAGAAAAGGCCCTCGTCGAGGAGGACAACACCCACCACACCGACGGGAACCACAGCAGCAGCGGGCAGGAGAAGAAGCCCGCTGAAAAGGGACAGACGTCTCAGATTGAGACCGTTGCGTAATTGCATCTGATAGAACGGTCACGGATGGACTAGAGAGGGACGGAGCGCCGGACGGTGGGTTCAAGGTTCAAACTGAGGAGGACTATATAGAGGGGCCGTCAGCCATTAGTCAGATAGGCCACCATGAGAAATATGAATACATGCAGATCAAGCCCAAGACCCTATTTTCACGTGAACTGGTCGCGAATCTTATCGCTGCGCCATTGCCATTTTAAGATACAAAACAGATTCACAGACGTCCCGGAGCTATTTCAGGGGTAAAACCAAAAAGTGTAAACAATGAATGACTCGCACAGTAACGGCATATCCACATAGCTCCATACAGCCGCTCACTCCACAGCGCCTTCCACGAATAAGAACAGTGTTCCTGCCGAGAAAAAACATCGGGCGTGGTGGCAGAGTGGTCTAATGCGCAAGACTCGAATTCATTGATTCGTGCATATCTTGTCTCTTCGGAGGCGTCGGTTCAAATCCGGCCCACGTCGTGAGATTTCATTTCCTTTTTGATATTTTTTTCGTCTCATTATTTATTTGCACTTCTTTTTATTTCTCCTAGTTACATACTTTTTAACAAAGTTTCTTCATATTAGTAACGACCATCCGTTTTACAAAGTCTCAGTCAGTATCTTATAAGCGTCTAGATTATTATTCATCGGCTAGATAATATGATAAACACAATGCGCCGCGTTAGAAAAATGTGTGCATGTCTTTTTTCTGATTATATCATCACCATATCAACGCAACATATTGTGAAATAGGTCTGAGGATACAAGGAAATATTTTGATTTGTTCGGTTAACTGATGACCCAAGTCAATTGACCTCAAATGAAGTGCTGTCCATTCCTATTCCCTCAGCTGCACTTTCGAAGACCCTCAAAGGTCCTCCTCAGTTCCTGGTCGTTAAACAAACCCTGCTCCTGAAGGACCATAACCAGCTGGGGAATTCGATACTTCCCGTTTCCAGCATCGTATATACTCACCGTTTCTCGGTTTGGCATCACCGTCGCTGCCGCCTCCCACCTAGGATGTTTGCGCGTATCTACCCATTCGTGATCCAGGCTGTCGTCAGGCACTAGTTCCACATCGGGACCAAACATTTTGACTAGCTTTTTATTCAGATCCTTTGCATCTTGACGGCTGGTAATGTAGGGATTCGGCCTTGACCCGCAAACAACTGTTTCCCGCACCTCGAGCGTCATGACCAGGTCAATGGCTGCCGCGAGCGAGGTCTTGACCACCTCCATTTCGTCAATCTCATAGCTAGATGTGATCTTGCGTTGGATAGAGTCAAATGTAACAGGCTCGCTAAGCCCGTCTTTCACGCCCGTTTTGACCATGAACACGGGCATCCTACCCACCTGCTTGGAGTCTTCGAGGCGGTAGAAGGCAGGGTCGACCAGAATGAGCAGCGCTTTAAACAGCGGCTGCACAACAAAGTGTTTCTCCGGGTCGAATCCCCTGGCCTTCATCGCTTCGGCATCATCACATAGAAACCGATGCATGTTGACCAGGGAGTCGATGACGCCGCGATTGGGGTTTGGTTTGTTCCTAACAGCCAGGATCGACGTGGTGCGAGCCCGGTTCGAGGCTATAGTAGGGTTCCCCGCATCGGGGAGTCCTTCCAAGGCGATTAACTTGCAAAGATATCTCTGGTGGTATATGTCGTTGCGATACGGCCGGTACCATCTCCGATAGACGTAGTTGAAGATGACGCGGTTCATGGTTCGGTATTGCCAGTCCGAGCATCCCGTGTAGATGGCGACCGATTTGTTGCACGTGTCTTGGAAATGCGTCAGGTCCATCCTGGTCAGGAAGCTCATGTCTTCAATGTTGACCCGGAAATCGTCTTCGACGCTGTTTCTGCGTATGTCGGCAAAGTGCTCGTCTTCATGGCACGCTCGGGAAAGCCAGACAAACTCATCTCTGCTGAACTGATCTAGACTTTTCGGCGGCCCGGTGGGCGATGGGACAATTGGACATGATTGGGACTGATGAGAGGAAGAGGCCTTGTCATTCGTCCTTCCATTGGCGCCCGAGATCGTATGTTTTGTTCTTGTTTCCTCGTGAATGAGTGAATCGGTTGATCTTGGGTCAAAGTTTGGGTCATGGCTGTTATGAAAGTGGGAAACCGGTGTCAGGAGACCGAGAGGATAGCTCATGTGATGAGTATCAGAATTTGAAGCTCCGGCACGAGCTGGGGTACGAGATCCATTCTCTAACATGGACAAAGCGTTTGGGAAACCGTTGGCTTTAACTGAAGAAAACTAAAAAGACGGATTGGGGAGAAAGAGGAAAAGAGAAAGAAAACGAGTAGAAAACGAGTAGACAACACCCGCCACCCGGTATTCATAGCACATGCCAGAGACTGCGTAATCGAGTTAGCCGTCGGGAAGCAGGCTTTCCATCTAACAACGCCACACCAACAACAGAGGCCCACTTGATTCCGAGGTATCTGGACTCTAACTTTGATCCATGATTTTCAGTCGCTGACGTCTCGAGATAGGTATCGCCCTATTTTAAGCATCCCCTTGAAGTTTCAGCATCTGTAGCTCCAGTATTTCATGAATCAGCATACGGGAATATGGGAACCGACAATAGGTATTGCAGACTGTATTAACTATCATCGAAAACTAAAAGGGCTCTATCATGTACGTCGTAAATATGACATGTGTTCGTGTGTCTCATGTGTGTCATAGGTGGTTGTGTGTGGTGCCCTCATCATATCAGACCGCCGGCCAAGATGAGCCGACGTGATTCAGACAAAAAGCCCAAAGTCCCGGGGCACTCCCCTCCCCCGGAGCCGAGCCTGGACGTTGATCGGGCCGTGCTCGGGGCCGCCGTCAAAGGTGCGGACGACCCACATGGACCGTCGTTTTATTCGTCGCCATGGGACCGAGTCTGTCGATTTACCATGTTGTTAGTACATTGCAAGTCAACATTGTTTGAGAGCGAGGTAAAACTTACAATCTTGTCTACTTTGTGGGATCGGCTCCGTATGTGACCTGGTTAACATTGATCGTGATACAGGCCCAAAACTACTGCCAGCTGTTGTCCTGCTGGTACTATAATCCATCTGCATCGATTCCGGCTCGCCGTATATTGACGCAGAACTTGATTCGGTCTCTGGGGCTTCTGGCGGCTCGTCCATCTCCATCGACATGTAGGACTCGGGATTCTCGGACCATTGCGGGAAGTCGGTGGTGAACTGCGCTAGATCCTCGCAGGGGATTGGCACAAGCGGTGGCTGCTTCCTTGGTATTGTGTCCATTTGGGGCTCGGGTCCGTCTTGCCAGTATGGTGGATTTTCGTATTGGTCGTATATTTGCGGGTGCGGTTCAGGTTGTGAGGACGTTTGTATTTGTGGTAATTGTTGCTGTTGCGTCTGGTTCATTGTAAACCCCGCCCTTCTCCTGTTTAGGGTATCTCTTGACATGGCGTCCCTCTCGGCCTCGGTACTCTCAACTCCATCCGCCCAGACGTACGACTCCATTTTGCTCCATCTGTGAATTGCCGTGTCGATGATGCGCCTCTCGACGTCCGTGTCCAGCTTTATCCCCAACATGGAAGCCAGATAGATGAGATGGTGGGCCAGCATCTGACATAGGTGCTCTTTCATGGCCAGCCACAGGGTCGGGCTCTGCTGGAACTCGGTGTCGAGCATTTCAGCTGCTGGGAAGCTTGGCGAGGGGTCCGAGTCGGTCAGTTGGGTCGACGAATATCCCACGCCAAGGATGGTGCCCAGCAAGAGGAGAAACAGAACCTGGCAGTACTCGGGACTGCACTGAGAGAGAAATTGCGGCGTCAAAATGCGGTCTAGCCGCTTTATCAGGCGGTAGCCCGAGACATGGCCTGCCGCGCAGAGCTCCCGCCTCTTCATATCGCGGGCGTGCCATCCGCTGTGGGCGAGCGTGGTGGCGAGAAGAAACTTTTGAGATTCGGGAAGTAGGTCGTCGTCGAGCAGCTCTTCTTGGAAGTGAATAGACAAGAGGTTGGAGCAGCACAGGGCCACGATGCTCCCGTTTGGAAATTTGGAGCCCGGATCAGTCAGCCAGGTCTCGAGAGTGTCGTTGAACTTGTCCCGCTGTTCAAGGTCAAACGAGGTGAAGCTGGCTGGGAGAGCAACTCGACTGAGCAGGCCGCCCATCTTGGCCGAAAGGGTCTCGATCTGCATGACGGCGATCTGGTCTGAATAAAAGATGTTGACGTCTGAGTATCTGGAGCGGATGCAGTAGCAAAAAGACAAGACTTTGCGCTCTGAGCCCCTGAGGGCGGATTCAAGACAGGATTTGCAAGGATTATCTTGAGAGCACTGTTTTCGTGAGTCCAAAGTTGTGGTGGTCAGTCACATCATGTTATATCCGACCATGGGAAGTAAGTGGGATGGAGTGAGATTAGCATGCCGACTTACACGAATCCTCAGCATCCGACAGCGCAGGCATGCCCCCTGTTGACGGACCTTGTTGACCTTCTCTCGTTCTTCTGGCGTGTACTTGGCTCTGGACCGGGCCTGCTGCGGCCTGGGGCGATTATCAGTTGCGCGGAAACAATGTAGCGATCGAGCTAGGGAAGGAGGGTCCATGACAGGTGAAGTGTGGAGGGATTGTGGACGTTGGTGGAGTTGATATATCTCAAGCGTTGCTGCCTTTCTTTCTCATGGAGACAGACACACCACCTACGTAGTGTGGTAGTGTAGCCCAGGAGCCCTGTACACACAGACACACCACCAAAATAGAAGCAACAGTCCAAATTGACATGGACACGGCTGTTTGTGGCGTCCTGAGACTAGACAGTTGCTGGTAAGATACCAAGGCCTGGTGCTGGTGGCATGAGAGTCGCATCACTCAACAAGAAGGTAGTTTGATCCACGCCAGCTCTCAAGGCACAGTGAAATTGCCAGAGACGTGTTAGTTGCTATTTATTTTTCACTAGTTTTGTCGAGGCTAGCTGAAGACTCGGTCTCTGTGAAAGCATCTTGGAGAGCCGAGAGCGCACTTTGACGTCAATAACACAGAAATCTCAGGACCACGCTGGGCAGGGTCATGAGACAAGTCAACACCGAGCTTTCCTGATTAGGCTAGTCCGGGTACCGCAAGAGATGCATCTCCAAGGCGGGAAATGGGGGGTTTTCGGTACGCAGCCAGGAAGCTTACTGTGCCGGTTACGGGCGAGGACCTGGGCCAACAAGGTTCTTGGTGGGAAGATGGGAAGTGGCGGCGGCTCAGATCTGGCTTTCATCGTTGTCGCTCAAAAGGGCAAAAACGGGCAAGATATGGCGCCAACTGCCGCTCTTCCGTCTTGGGAAGAAAGTAATCGATAATGGAGAGTTGAGGCAGTTTGATATTACCTGAAAGACAGTGAAAGAACGTCCCTAAATCCGTTAAATTGCTACATGTCTTGAGTAACCCCACAACCCGTGCCCGCACTTGCCCGCAATGCCAGCCCCGAGTGAGCAAAAGTCTGGAGCTTCCTTGTGGAGGAAGCTCCC